TGAAGCGAAATGAGACGAAGTGAATGAGAAAAACTCATCAATAGAACGGTATTCACAAGTAATAGCTATGAGAGTGAAAACAACACGTCTGAAAAGAATGAGAATCTATCTAAATCAGTTTGAAGCAAGCGTGTCATAGACAATAGGTTTTAATGCAATCATAATCGATTGCAATAATGAGCAACACAACGATTTAGGCTACTAATTTCTTTCACGCCGCTGAGAAACTCCCGAACCGGTTTTCCGTTTGTTCCTGCCGTTACAGGTAGAAATAGTAAGATCTTGTATCAGGGTGGGAGGGGGTAACGGCGACCTACCAGATCATCAAAAGGGGTAATGGAGCTCCTGAACGTGAGAGCCACTGCATTAGCAGATCAACGATCTGCAAAAAATTTCCGCAATCCTGAAGTTTCTGACATCGATAGTCTCTCCTGGGATTCTGGTACATTATTGAATTTCTCATATTGCCTTATGAAGATGGAATGTGTATATCTTCTTCGAACATTTTCAACGACATCAATGCAGCGTTTATCACTGTATTGATCGGGAAAAGATCAAGGGTAGAGGCATATTCTAAGGTGAGCGAATTTAGGTTACATACTTTATTTAGTGGGGATAAGGGAATGAAGCTGAACGTCCTTAATGTGAATGGCGCTCTGGCGCTTGCTTCTTTAACTAAATTGGAAATGTCAAAATGAAATGTGCATTATCTGCGAAAGTAAAGCATCTTGAGTCTGAAAGAAGGCAGTCTGGAAGAACTTCAATAAGAATAGGAAAGTGAGGGGGTCATACAACGGAAGTTTGATAAACACCACTGCTCGTGCATTCTGAGGAACTGAATGAGTCACCAACTTGAGCTGACTGAAAACGGTTCGCAAGGAAATCTTAGATCCAATTGGACAAACAACCTCGTATGTCGTATGCTTGTAATTAATTGACTACTGACTTGCGCACTAAGCGGTCTCAGCCAGCCGATACAATAAGATCTGAACGATCCAGAATTTCAGCGGAAACGCTCAATGTGATGATATTCTCAAAACGGGATGAAAAAGTGTAATCTGGGCTGCTGCCAACTGAGTGCTTCTTATTTTTACTATCGTCGTCTGGTTATTTTTTGTTGTTGAAGTTTGTTTTTATTGCTGGCTGATGTCAATTGCTAAAACGATTGTTACTGAATGAAAATTTTTGAGAATATTGAAAAATTTTGACTACTGAATGGCGTAATGAGGTTTTTTTGCAAGCGAATCGGCAACGCGATTGCAACTGATGAAGTGAGATTTGAAATTAGCGATTAGCAGACTGACTTTGCTGGGTAGCGTTTTAGCGGAAAGCACCGCTGCGTTTACCATTGGAGACACATTTAGCGAAATATTTTCGCTATTTTTTCATTCGAGGCGCTAGTAACGAATTATTTTTAGCGGAACAAAGAAATTTTTTAGTAAATAGCGATTTGCGGTGACACTTTTTTCACTAGACCATCACTGTCTCAGGGAGTGCTGCCTGCATCCACGATTCTCATATTATAGCGATTGCTCAGGTCTACTCATTCATGAGAAATCACCACCTAAAACTAGAATTTTGTTCTTTCAGAACGGGCGCAAAGACCTTTAGAACCTTCAGCAGGTCAGTCATCGATCGGAATGCGTACAGTCTATGGATTGTCGAAAATTTCGTTCGACGCTGTGCTGAATACCGAGACCGATCTGCGTGCTTCGGCGCGTACAAGCCAGCTGTAGTTTCGCATGCCTCAATGCTTACGATTAGCACTGCTTCAGTTTAAGCTACACAATTCGGTACAGAGTTCATTCGAGTTTTGCGCAGATATTCAACGAGATCAAATGAATAATGAACGAACATTGTTGAGCATTGCGAAAGTATACAGTGGAATTAATTGCATTGAGTTGTTGAGTGCGAAGAGTGACGTTGGATTATTGGACTGATGTTTATTAAAAGATTTGAGAATGTCGACTGCTGAGTTCGTCATCGCCTCACAACAATCCACCACATTCATTCCTTGTAAAGCTTTTTCACTCGCTCAAAAATCACAGTTTTTTGATTGAAACAATTTTTTTGTGATTAGCGAATCTCTTCAAAATCGAAAACAATGTCATTGAATGTATTTATCAAGGATATCAATGGGGTGCGGACTAGAATTGATCACCAACGGCAACGCTTTCATAGACCGAATTTTCGGTCAAAAATGTTTTTAATTAGACACGACTGGGGTGACACTTATTGTAGCTTCAATTAAGTTGTTCGTTCAACAGCTTGAATTTATCTGATGTGTAGACTTATACGTATTTCTTAATCACGATTATTGTCGCTATATTAAACATCTAAGTTTTCGATTTGGTCTTAACAAATCAAGAGTGGGCTCATAACTTCGCTCCTTGTCGGATTTAGCACATTTGACAGTGTAGTGAAAAGAGAAGTAGGTGAGGATGAAGTGCTGAAATCAAGAATCAAATAAATATGAGTACCAATTTTGGATAGCAGCATAAAGGCACACTGTGCATCAAGAGCGTCGTAAAGTGTTTGCAGATTTGTCGTGAGAGGTATACACATTGTATGCACCCGGATACGACGATCGCCTGCAACGCTCAGCTTAATTTGAGTTCAGCTGTCGTAGAAATGACAATTGATTAACTTTTTCTGAAAGTACTGATAAGGCGAAGATTCAGCATCGATTGCATTCGATCAGTAACCGCTGCAATTGTATCTTCGATGGGCATTGATCAGACCATCTCGATTTCGGNTGCTAGTGAAAGTAGGCGGCTTCAAAAGTCAGTTGATGACAACCGATCAAATGCTTGATAGCCAAAGAGTTTCCGTGGCCGCTGACTCAATTCTACTTGTCACTGCTGTGTAAAAATAGCGGATGTGGAATGGCGCTGGTTGCTTCGATAAACTAATGTGACATTTCAACCATTTTGCAGAATGGGATATTGTTGTCATAAGCTGCCAGAGCAAATCGGAATCGGGTCAGTGGATTCGGGAGATTTCGATATATCGCTAGGGGTGGTGTTTTTCATAATGGCAACATCTGGAAATGCTTTCTCTTATAAGATTATGGACGCCATGATAAATTCGCGTTACTTTCAAGTTCTCGTATTGTGAACTCGAATTGCGTTACCTTTGATCGACGTATAGATAAGTGTGGTTTGAAATGAAGCATTCTTGAGGTTACTGCGTAAATCATCAGCGATTTCAAGTTTGATTGCAATCGTTGACCGCGTATTTATAATGCCCATCATCAGCAAATCACATGAACGCACAAAACAACTACCATAATATGAATGTAGTGCAATACCTGCATAAAACGTTGCTAATACTCATGAGATACACGACCAGCAACACTGAATTGTACATTTAGAATATCTGCCAACTGTATAGAATCTGTCAATAATGTGCCATAAAATTTTATCAACGAAGCTTTTTTCTAAGGTTTCGTTCAAAATTTCGTTCTTTCGTTCAAACTTCAAGCAAACCATAGCTATATTTTGAATGGCAAACGAGTATCTGGTTAAACGCGAACTACAAGCCGGAACTTTGAACTCATGTCCAGTCCATCGGCGAAACTCATTCTGAACCTAGATCCATAACTTTCGCATTGTAATAGGTCACATTTCCATGTTTCCGTTCCACTCATCATACATTTGGCATTTTTTGGAAGATGTTTCAGAATGGATTATGTTCGAGATTCTAATTCTCCGCAGTTGATGCCTTGCCAGACAACGCCGATCATCTTTTTAGTGTTCGATGTTACGAGATTATGAAGTTTTAGATTCCGAAATTTGTCGATTATCATGGGAGCAAACCTCATATCATGAACACATTTATGATGTTTCACATATAAAAGAAATGTGGGACAAAGTAATTGAAGTCTGAGATCAGTACATAAGAATAGCGCAAAATTTGAACTATAACCTTTGGTGCATCGTATCCTTAGCATAACTTCAGAAGCAATATTTTGATGTAAATATTCACTGAAATCGCTTCTAAAAGTTTCTTTTTGTATTTGATCGTTATAATGACCATAACCAAAATAGTGCCTTACATTTCCACCGTTGTACTTCGCGAGATCGGCTGCAATTCATCGACGTTTCAACAAACACAGTAAACAGTAGCACTGCTACAACAATGAACAACAAACTCTTCCTAGACTGAGGCAATAACTTTTTCACCAACCTATTGTACCTATATCGGCATAATTCGAATTGAACAAGAACAGATCAACTGCCACTGGACGATCAATGTATTGTAGAGCGAGACTCTTATAAAAATCTGTTGACGGCCTCAAATTTCGTCCGTCCTGGAAGGATTCAACTCACGATATTGAAGTTTGTCACACACTACGGTTGAGAAACTTCGGCCAAAAAGGAATGTACCCCAGCTGCCAACTGTAGATTCTATCTTCTCATCGATTATTTTGGAGTCTTCATTTGGGATCTTTCGATAGCGCTGAGTTTGTCAAGAACACTTTTTTTGGAACGGATGAAAGACGTAGAGTCGGCTGATTGGATCAAGAACCTAATCTTCATTTCATAAAACATTCAATGATCCAATAAAGATTGTTATCGAATAAAGAATGAAGAATAAAGAACGCATTCGGAAAGCCTTTCGATACATCAACATTTCAGCGTTGCATTTTGAAAAAAGTGTCGTTTTCCTCATCAAAGAAGCAAATTCGCAGTTGATGACTTACACGGTATCAAGCACAAACACCATCTCCAAACGCTCAACAAACATCCAAAATTAGGATATTTAAAGTGATATGAGATAAATAATCGAATGCAAAAATTAATTATATTGCTGACTGCAAGACACGGACGTAGAGGCGATTCAATCAAAATCTCACCAAAGACGCATTTGATTCGTCGTTGGAACGTGCACCAAGAGCGCCGGGTCCTATGTTCGGCAGAGCAGTCTGCATCACAGTTATTCTTCCACCATAATCACTCTCAAAATTTTTCAATCCCGATCGAATAAATTCACATAAAATGATGGTCATTTCAACAGTTACAACTNAGAGATGAGCATCCTATTGGTAGTTGGCACGTTATTGTTTCGCATTTGAATAACTTCTGAACAATTAATCTAATATTTGAAGAGCGCAAATGAGGGACATTTTGGAAAATTGTTCAAGCGGAGAAATGAGTGAATGATCGTAAAGTATACCAAAAGTTGAAAAGCAATCGTTGATGCAGCTCCAAGGCAACTGGAATTAGGTCGATTTGATGCGAAGATTGATGGTAACTGACGAAGGAATGCTGATATTCTCTGGAATAAATGTGCAACACAACGTTCACATCGAATAGTAGGAACACATTATTGAAGTGGATGAATGTTGATAAGACAGAAGGAACTATTCCATCTTATCGGATGATATCGGATATTGGATGATGCTTACTGCATCGTCTTTATTATACATTTCTTTACTAGATGTCACCTTCTAGGTCTAGGTTTGCACCTAAGACAAAGCTAAAAAGTGTTTCTCTTATCTTGTGATCAAATAGCTGCCTACCATCGTATTTCAAGTGATCAAAGTTGGTGCCAATAAATAAAATCACCTTAAGATTGTTTAGAGCTCATCATTGACTGTTCATCATCAGCAAAACTGAATAGGTTTGATGTTCGAAAAGACGATTGTCTGATTGAGATTCAGTCTGGGGTGAAGTTTTGAAGTGTAGATAAAGGCTATGATGCTATGGAACGGTCACGTTCCATTTTCACAATGGTCAGTTTGCTCGGACTGGGCACGTAAATGAATAACTGAAGAGATAATCCGTTTTAGATATTTGAACAAACCTGAATATTATCTTGCAAATTTACTAATAATCCTTTACAGGATGGAATAAATGCATCTAAAAGTTGTTGATAAATAGTGGGTTGTTAATCATTAGAAAATTAGTGACTGATTTTGAATGACACGGTGTGAGAATAAACACATAGCGACAATTCAAGCAATCGTTGCGTTACGCGTAAAGTGTTTTCATTTTGGACGCTTTAGCTGTTCCGCATTGAATTTAAGAATATAGGAATAGAATTTGTGAGTTTTTAACTGAAAAGGAAACGAACGGTGACAATTTACGATGAACAAATTGATTTAAAAAATCACTGTGAATATCGATAAGAACGATTTGGTGAACTGAGTTTCGGTTGAACTGAAAGAAATGAATTGCACTATCAACAGCAATGAAACCAATAAGAGTTTGTTTGTTGGATGGCATCCGTTCGAGTGACTTCACTGATTCATCAACAAATGTTTGCAAGTATCCTGAAATCATTCAAAAATCATCTTACCCTCAATGCGCTCGAAGTGATTTTCAAAGTAATCCTGTTAGTGCTAAAATTGTCACTTACTGGACTATGTGATGGATACTATGGCGATTTAACTAAACGTAAGACGCTTACTTTGAATTCGTTCAAAATTTGAACATCATTTGACCACATTCACTGACAGCTTAATTGTATTCCTCCGATAATTCTTACCGTTCATTCAAGTTGTCTATGGAAAGTGACTGTTCAAAATCGATGGTTGCATAATGCTAGGAGTTCAAAGATCATTTGATGAATTTTACGATCCGTCCTGGAACTGATCTAGAGCGTTGGGGTGGGACGTATGATCGAGTATTGAGAGGAACTGGCGAATACAACAACAAAACGAGAAGAATGAAAGTACGAGCCTGTTTGAATGGCTTGGAGACTGACATCCAAAATGAATAAATATACGAATGGCTTGGGAGATTGTGACTGAAAAAGCATCTCATTAGTAAAAGAGAATTTTATTGAAATCATGCATCACAGTGGATAGATTGAATTTAGATAGAATTAATCACTGGTTACTGCTTTGAGAATGGTGAAATTCAATCGAATATATCCTAATTTGTGTGCAGTATTCATCTTTCGCAGCATCGAATGTTCAACTCTGGAATACTGAGCACCATTTCCTTTATTCTATAGACTCAAATTCGGAACACTATTTGATCGTAGCATTTCATCCTATAGACCAAACTTCAGAACGTCTTCCATATACAGTAATCGACAGAATTATCGAATGTCCAACAACGTATAAAGAATGAGCACTCAAGACATCGGTACGGTTCACTCTAATATCGGATTGTCTTCTTGCATGAGGCATTTTGAAGAGATGTTGATTATTCTGTTGACACTCGCTTGATTAATTCCGTCAGTTTATAGAAAAGAAAATTGCATCAGTTTATAGAAAATCCTAAGCACATACTATAGTTTCTGAAGAAGCCATATATTCAACCGATTCACTGCTGAGCTCTTGTGGCCAAGTTGTTGCACAATCGAAGTCATCGGGAACTGCAATGAATCGTCTGCTTCCTGGAGTCAACTTTGGTAATTTATTGCATTCTGCTTGTAAGGAGAGAATCTTTTGCTAATGATGGAAGGCTCTAAGGCTTACAAGCATATCGTTATAATCGCAGACTCTTTATAAACCATTCTAAGAAATGAATGAAACACCCTAGCTAGAGAGAAAAGAATAGAAAGGATGTAATAGAAAACAATCCATCGTTATTTCATGTGTACAACGCCAATGATTACTTGTTACTTATACATTGAGCGGTTGTTTTGTTGATCGCTGTTAGCGATCGGCGGAATGTTTATTTTGTAGAGTTATGATTATTTATCGGATTGGTATTTGGCTAGGTTTAGTTGTGCAAAGTAAGCATTGAACGGAAACGCGAGCATTGTGGCCAGCAATGTTATAAACGTTTGATAGTCTGGCCAATCCAGGTAATCCATGTGTACAACGCCAATATATCAATAATATTTCAACGAAGTAACATCGAAACATTTAACGCAATCGTTTGCCAGTTTTAAACCTCACTAAAATTCAATAGGAATGAAAGCATCATTGAATGATGGATCAATATAAATGATGCAATAACGAACAGGCATTGTATTGTAAGCAGATGTTGCATTGCCAGTTTCGTTCATCAACTACGGAAATGAACGAATTTATATAAGCTCTACAATATCGACATCGGATAATCGCTGTGTCATTCATCACGTCTAGATCCTCAACATTCCAGAATTTATATCATTATGCTGACGAAAATAGCCGAATCATATCTTTCTTTTTGTATATTTCGATTTCTTGACATTTTCGAAGGTAGAGAGAGGAAGAATGACAAGAAATTTGATTTATGCAAACATATGCTTTCGGCTGGGAAATTTCTCAATGTTTTTGTCCTGGAGACTGCGCTAAACATTTTTTCTAGAGCGATGTTATACTCGATTTGATAATTTCTGATCATTAGGAACTTTTGAACTGAACATTTGTCGAT